CATCTGCAATGCTTCTGAGAGCCTAAAAGGTTTCAGCCTTGGCAAAGGAAGAGGGAATCAGTGGATTAGAAGAATCGAGCAAAACCAGAATGCCATATGGAAGCAGGTCGGTTTAAGCGCATCGGGCTCGGATCAGGGGCTGAGGGACCATCTGCCAGTCTCCGGGGAGATTCAGCCAACGGCCGCCAGCCACCCCCACCACCCGGCCGGCACCCGTTCACCCCGCGACGCACAATCGGTCATGAGTGTGAGAAGAGCGGCTCCCGAGAGCGCCAATCTGTGTTGACTCGATTTCGGGGCTTTTTTATCCAATCGTTCAATTCTTGTGTTGGTTTTATTCCCTTCGTGAAGGTACACCTGAGGTCACAACCTTCGGTCCTTAAGAGCTTTTTCTAGAGATTCTTGCGATTAGTCACCGCTCAGAGAGGTTGTGATTAGTCACCTCTTTGCTTTACTCTACTCGATATTTGAAATGGTTTTTCATTAGAAAATCCTTTTCCAGTCAGTTTAGTGGTAAATCGACAAGAAAATTGCCCCACTTTTTCCTTCGTCTCATTTTTTCCTCAGTAATTATTTCGATTTCATACCGGTTTTGTACACTCTTCAACTTACTTTTTGAGTGTGTCAAGTACCAATTTGTTTCCATGTTTCTTTGACCTTCAGGTTAATACCGTTCAAGTTGTTCGAATATCGATTGGCAGAGCAATACTGCCTTCCCAAAAACACCCAAAACAGGAATTTTTTCACTTTCGTTCAGTTCTCCCTCTATAACCCTCTTATCGTCATCACTAGCTAGCTTTTTTCATAAGTGTACTTTCAGCATGCTAAACGTGGATATTTCCCAAAACCCTATGAACCTATACGGTAAAGGGACCGCTGAATAAATAAATCAAATTAATTTATCTGAATCTTTGATACAACTAGGTTTGGACTGTCTGCGAACGTCCGCAGTGACACTAAAAAATCCAGGGAAACTGAAGAGTTAAAGCTGATTTGAGAATGGAATTTGAAAAATTCGGTAGTTGTATGTGTGCTTCCGATTTCGATGAGATTTGCTACTGTATAATATGATTGTAAGGCCGCGTTCATAGCTTGCGACCATGAAGAAAGTGAAGAAGTGCCGAAAGTGAAGAAGTGCCGAAAGTGCGGAATCTGAAGAAATGCCGAATGTGAAGAAAAGCAATAGATATGTATCGATTTGAAGAAATTGCGGAAAGTGCGGAAATGCAGAAAGTGCGGAAAGTGCGGAATCTGCAGAAAGTGAAGAAAATAGATACGTATCGATTTGAAGAAACGGAAAGTGCTATTGCTTTTCTTCACATTCGGCATTTCTGCAGATTCCGCACTTTCCGCACTTTCGGCACTTCTTCACTTTCTTCATGGTCGCAAGCTATGAACGCGGCCTAGAAGGCTTTCAATTATGAGTAAATTTCAAGGCTCAAAATAGACCCCGAATATGTAAGCAAAAAAAACACATGAAAAAATACACAGAAAAATATAATATGATTGTAAAATAGACCCCGAATATGTAAGTTCACTAGCATGGGAAATAAATACGAAGGAAATTAAAGTCAAAAATTGCACAGTTGCAGCTTCTTTAATGAAATTTTTTGGACACTTATTTAATTTGTTCATTTATTTACTTGTTTATTTTTTTAGTGCGTCCATAGGACGTGCCATGCGGAACAGCCATGGAAAAAGTTGATGTTCAGCAATTTAATTATACTTCCTTGTTGGTTTTATGATTACCGATACCATTATTCTGACCAGATAGGACATTGTCATCCTTTACTCCTATTTTGCGTTGTCTGTTCCTATGGAGATCGCTTTTATGCATTTCTTCGATTATTTATTTATTCACTTAATTGTTTGTTTATTTATTTTGCTGTTTATTTTCTTATTTATTGTTCACTGGGAGCATGTATTCGTGTAAACAAGTGTGTAAACAAAGCAATGGTAAAAGTAATTCGCCAGTAAATGATCACAGAACCAAGTGGAGGATTGATATCAAACTGAGGACCATTTCTCTGTTCCTATAGTGCCCTGGTGTCATCTAAAACTTATCCTTTGCTTGGTTCTCTACTTTTATTGTTTATAGAAGGATAGAATATTTGTCTTTAGTGTTCTATCTTTTCTGGTTTTCTTGTGTTTTCTTTAGGAATATTTACCATTGGGCGATTCTTGGTTTCCTGTTCACGTGATTAACTGCATATCTGAACCAGTACAGTTTGTTTCGTCAAGCTGAACGCCGTTACCAGAAAGGCGCACGTAGCTGAAGTGGGGGGGGGTCGCCAGTTCCTCCCTTGCCTCAGTCAAGGCTTAGGTTTAGTGGAGATGTTTTTCTGCGGGACTATCTCTCGACATCTCCGATCGTCGACCCTCTAAGCCTGAACCTTTCTGGGGAAAGGATGCGGGGCTGCTACCAAGTGGTGATCCTCCACTCAACTATTTTAGCGCCCGTCAGCCTGTTTTTGCCCTTCCAGTTCCAGAATTTGGCCTGTATTCTTGTGTACTACCTGTTTCTCTCCGTGGTATCTATAGTAAATCGACTAGGAAAAAGGTTCTAACACTTTCAGGGTTTTATCGGAGTATTTCTAGAACTGCCTTCTATCACTGCCGTTTTACAATGTTTTTATTGATGAGCTGTACATAATTAGAGTCCAGCCTTAAATTCATTACACAATTCGTTCATTCTTTGCATTTTTTTTCCATCCGCTTATTATTATGGGAGCCTCACCTAATAGACTGAGCAGATTTCTGCTTTGTCTGTTTTGCTGTTTCGGATTCTTTTCTTGATAGTGTATTGGAATTATAGCTTTACTTTTTATATTTATCTTTTTGTTTGCTAGAGGAACCTAGTAATTTGTGTGGTTACTCGTCATCGTTCGACACATTTTGGTGAGGAGTAGACGAAAGCTATTTTCCAAGTTCTTCCAGCAGGTTCCTCTTGCATTTCGGCGCCATCCTTGTATCATTCTAAAAGCTAAAGTTAGAAGACTCATTTCGCAAGTATCTATTCGGTAAGTTAGTGATCCTCAAGGGGGGGGTCGTATTTAGTCCCTCGAGGGGAGGGGATTGTCCTGGACGAAAAAATTTTTCTTGTTGTTGTTTTTTTCGTTTCATTTCCGCTCTACGGCAAAATAGTGGGCGGGGCACGTCGTAGGCTGAGACATATTTGTCAAGGCTTGGTCGGTGGAGAAGAAGGAGTCCTTTTTCACACTTTCTGGTTCCAGGTGCGCATACAGGGGGCCAAAAAAAAGTCATTCCGGCCGAGTCACATATGAGCGAAGTTTTCGCAGCCCAGACAGAGGAAGTGGATATGAGTACCAGGGCGGAAGATACCCAAGATCTTCCTCTATAAGCAGGAGCCGGCTGCCGCCATTCACCTTCATGTACACCAAAATATGAAGTCATCTCCAGTCGCGGCCTGAGTGGAGAACGCCTTTGAAGTGTGCAGGCGGGTGGGCCCGCAGAGACAGTGTGGCTGGAACTTCCTTGAAATGGAATCACCCATGATAGCTACCTGGAGACCAGTACTCTTGATCTGCAAGACCTCAAACATCGAGCAGCTCCGGCAACGTCGCTACGGTCCAGGACATCATCTTCACCCCATTCACCAAGGCGCGGGTTGATGGTGTACCGGCCGTACCTGGAATGGATGAACCGATATTTTCTTCGTGGGCCCCAGACTGAGGGTGTGCGCTGGTGGCTACATCGAGCAACTCGAGGAGAATATCCCATCTTCATGTCGTCGCCCGTACCTTCTTGGAAACTTTGTACTGCTACAGGATTGGGTGACAACACATTTAATCGAAGGGCGTTGGAAAAACTTTCGCCTACTTGGAATGGAAGACGTGAGAAGTACCTGGAAAAGATGGAGTATTTAAGCGGGGGTCCTGAACTAAACCCCCTCAATTACTCGGTTCGGGCGGAGCTCAACAGGGTGGTCTACAGTGGCGGAGAAATCAACGATCTCGCTCAACTCCGGTACCCACTCACTTTCGCGCCGAATCTCTCGATGGCGCTCCTCCAGAAGGCTGTGGCGGAGTATCATTATAGTATTTAATGTGCTCTTTAATATGGTAGTAAATGTCCGATAAAATTTAATAAAGTGTAACTTATAGCGCCTTGAAAGTCATGGAGGCAAAATGACTTTTTTGCCCCCCCCTGATAACTCCCTCTCCCCTCCCCCTTGAGGGCAGTGTTCTGAAAGCGGAAAGATCTATCGAGAGAGAAAATTTGAGGTCACCAGAGTTTAGTAAAAAAGTTTCCAGCGTTAAGACGCTGTCTCTGATGTTTTTCTCTAAATTAGTAAGCTCATAGACACAAGTTCCCCAGCAATGAGTTAAGAATGTGCAGTGTCTTTTTGGCATAAAAAGTAACAATATAGCAGGTTGTTTTGGTAATCATAGGTTATTTTCGCGTCAAGAAGTGGTGATGATGGGCTGAATGGGAGGATCTGAAGAGTACCGGTTTGACGTGCATTGTTCACTTCATGAACACGTTTCAGGTTATTTTGAAAGCCGAAGATATTGCTCATGTTCTTCGTGATGGCATTGCACTTTTACCTGGATCTCGTGATCGTACGGGTCGTGCAATCATCATATTTCCTCCGAAGGAACATCAACTAAATCCGGATAATATTAGGAATATTCTTCGTTACTTGCACACTGTCACAGCGTAAGTTTCTCATTCGGTTTGTTGTCTTTATTCCTAGTACACTTTCTCGAATTGAATTTTTTCCTGCTTTCTCATTTTTATATCTGTTATTTAAGTGACGACACTAGGGAGCTTGGTTTCACTGTGATCATAGATATGCGTGGGAAACACGCGTCAAATAATGTGCGACCTATTCTGAAATCCATTAATGTGAGGCTTTTTCCTTTCATCTTACGTGTTTATTGATTTGCATATGTTTACTTGTATATTTCTTGATTTCTAATTTTTACATTGTTCGACCACTTTAGCATCTCTGTGAGACGACTAATGGGCTAATTATTATGGTTTTGATTATCAAACCGGACACATTTTGGGAGAAACAGAAGGCAAACATGCTCATAGGATCTTGGAGTTTTGAGTGTGTGCCGATTCCGTATTTTTCATTTCCTTTTTTTCTATTTTTTTTATACAAATTTCTCTCTAAACCTTTATATAACACTTCACTTACTAATGTTGACATGAATCTGATTATACCATCATTAATGATGGCCATAGTTCGAATCACTTTTTGCGGACACCCTAGCTCTTCTGATGGGCTCGGCTCAAGGTGTAGGAATTCTCGCCATTCGTGAATGCTGCCTCACCCATCAGACATATGTCTGTTTCCTATTTCTAAGGACACCTGCTCACGTTCAGCCGTTAGGCCCTCTCCCCCTCCCCTTCCATTCCATATTGTTCAACAATCTCCTCTAAAGTTCCTTCATTTCCTTACCGTCCTACCCACTTTTCAGGAGTTTTGTCTATCAAAACATTCTCTACTTTCTTCCTCAATAATCTGCCAGCGAGGGGAAGGGGGAAGGAGATGTGTAAAGCATTTGAAACGGGAAAACTGGGAAAAATCAACAGCGGAAATACTAACTCTCTCAGGGGCATCAAGTATTTGGTTGGAAGGAAAGTCCTGTCAGTGTTTTTTGAAAAGCCTACCTTTTGTGGTTCTGTTTATGCTCGAACATGGCGTAACATGTCATGCTTGTAGAACATTCTGGGAGCTTACCTGCAACAGTTGTGTGAGGGCGACTGTACTTTAATGGGTTTAATTACGATGTCAGTTTCCGTAGAGCATCTTCGGGCCATCATTTTCTGTCAGTGGCCCCCGCGGCAATGAAGCAACGACAGGTGTCCGCAACAATCCAGCAGTGGCATTGGCGGAGGACACCACTACATCATGACTGTCCATCTTGTTCGCTCGCTTGCGAAAGAGACGACCTCCCTAAGTCAAACCCGTAGCGATGCCTCACGACGTGGAAGACTCCGCCGTTCTTCGAACTGTCAAAGCAGGATTCGACCACTCGCAGTCTGCGAACCAAGACTCAGATGCTAACTGACATCGTAAACCGCCCTGCAAGAGCCGCTGTGACTACCGAAAAGCTAGCTCGAGGATTCACTCATTACCTTGGCCGATGGTGCACGCTGCGGCACCGGTATCCCTTGCCAAGTCTCGCTCTTTTCCGCCCTCATAAGAATGGAGTCTTTTTCTGAGAGACTGTTAGTGAGATGAGAGATGTCTCTTGTGCTGCTCCTGAACGGCGAAGGGGATGCTTGGGCAGAAACGAAGCAAGCCCGTGTAAAAACACAACAATCACGCTACCATTTGTGTCAACGACAAGCTCCGAAAGCCGTGGAAAACTGCCAGAGAAAATACCGGAAAACTAGCTTCAGAGCACACTCGTTCATGAGTACGCGAGGACCCCAACCTACTAGGGAAACTATCAAATAATGAAGGAGGGCAAGGCCTGGACGCAAACGCGCTCCATCGTACGCGTAAGTCCCATACGACTGCTTACCCTGCTCACTTACGGCCGAGTGCTAACAGATAAAGTATGCTTGAGTAATTCCCACTGAATGTGTTGAATATAGAAAATAAAAAAAAAAGAAGAAGGTCCTCAACAGTGACAATACCTTTTCAATTCTCGACCTATACTGAACTCTCCTTCTTGGACGCCAAAGCGGCAGAACAACCCCTCTTCGCCCCCCCCCCACTGGTATCCTCAAATAACGACGTGCCGTGATGAACACAGGTACGGTGCGTTGCGTTCTGTTCTGTATGATATCCTGCGGTCTCTGTCCCCTTCTGGCTCGTTTCCTGTTCCCGTCATGTTGAGCATGAAATGTGAAGATAGTTATCATTTCTGCCTCAAAGGCATATAGCACGATAATTGTACTCGGTACTCGTCTGAATGCTAGAAGGGTGCTAGAAGGTGGCCATTTTACAAATCAGTTTGGTTTGATAGCTCCCCTGGTACAACGCATCAATCTAGGAGTTTACGGCTGTCGTTATATAACGAACATTACGTATGAGTTATAATGATCTGTAATATTCTAGTGCTGTCGGCGAGTTTTCATATTATTTGCTGTCGAGTACATTTATGATTTTTGAAGGTGCATATGATTTCCTATTGATGCTTTGTCGAAGTTCATCGACCCTAGCCAACTGATAAGAGACCTCGGTGGTTCTTTCCCGTACGATCATGATGACTGGTTGGATACACGCTTGGTGAGTTGTGCTTTTTCCTTTGCAGTAGTTCGTCATATTTGGGCGTGTCAAGCTCTAAGGGGCTTACTGGAGCCTGCAAACGTAGTAGGAGATGCATTTTTGTCGCCTAATGTAGTTCTCCTATGTTCTCATAGTTCAAAGCGGTGAATTTCTGTGCTTCCATAGCTGCTCAGCACGAGGCAGTACTAACAGTCATGCCCCATAAAGTTGTGAAACCCCTTCTCGATGTAGTCTCTTCATCTTCCTTCATCCCCGGGCTTTCCATGGTCGCTTACCTTTTAGATTGAAGTCCAGTGCTTTGTTTATCGATTGATCTTCACTACCGTGTCCGAAAAGGTAATTCCCTAGCCATTACAGGAATTGGAGCGCTGGATATGGCAGGTTTCGGAAGTGATGCGAAATTTGGAGTGTCAGCGTAGATCCATGGCCGATGCTCAGTTTCCAGTAGACGTAACTACAGCTGAATCTGCTCTTTCCCAACACTCCTCTGTCAAGAAGACAATCTTGCTATTCCCCTTGACCGCTTGCAAAGTGAATCCGATAGGGTTTGTTTAAAGCTTCTTTGGCCCTTTCAGTTCTTATCGGAGGTTCTTTACAATTCGTGATTCTCATTTGCTTCAGATAAGCGAGCGAATTAATCGTGCTCAATGCGGGATTTCAAACCCGGACCTCGTGTCATCGATTCCGCATATGGCAAACCTTCTGACATCACTGCGAAGTCTCAAGTGAGCTTTCGTTATTCCAATATGAGGCGCGCTTTCTCAAGTTCAAACTTTTTATGTGTCGACTTGCGAGCTCCTTTATGAACTGGGTAGTCCCTAGAGTATCTCCGAAGGAATTACCATGATATTCGTTTTTAAGTACTTCTTGTAGAAACGATGTCTTCAAGCAGTGGGAAACTCGCCGAGTGGAGCTCGAGGGATGTTATCAAATGAAACTCTTTGAACATGACGCTGATAGTAATTATTTCTTCAACATTTTCAAGTGACTGCTTGAAAAGTTGCACGCTTTTGATCTATTGGCGCCTCTGTCAGGGTTACACTCGCGCTCTTTGGTGCACAATGTATCCAGTTGCAGAGTTACTATGTTCGCTAAATGTGTATTCAGCCAGTAACGCTGAAAAGTATTATTCCAGATGTTGGATTGGACTCGAAAACACTGCGATGCGTTATCACGACGGATAGGTGACATCGGTGCAAATGATACGGAGGCTTCTGAAAGGCTTCGCGAGTTTGAAGAATTTTCAGCGACAGCTGATGTAAGCGTAATTTAATGATTCGACTGGTTTTCGTTATTTAACTTTAACAATTTTTGCGGCTCTACCCCCTGCTAACAGTGTCCTCATATCAAAATATCACAATTGGTATCAAAATTGGCTCATCAACGGTTCATTTAACCGATAGCGGGCCACCGTGACGTGTATACTCTAGTTCGCTGCGGATGAAGGGGCATGTCAGGCAGTACGAGTGTGCCAAAGCGGGTGTAGGTTAGGACTCCACGAGAGGTCACGGCTGCCATGTCTCGCCTCGCCGCGCGCGGCGATTGCAACTGATTTTACGAGAGCAACATGGTCGTGCGATTAAGATCCCGGTCCCTTCACATAGTTCTGGCATCACGCGAATCTGCTTGGGATTTTTCCAAACCAGAATATTCAATGGGACGACAGTATTTTTGAATGGCAGCTGTACTTATTCGACGGGTTGCTGTATTTCTTCAATAGGACCTACTTTTACCGTCTGGCCGAGAATCTTAAACCTTACAATATCTTACAATTGAGGCCAAAAGAAGGATTCACCCTGAAAAGAATTTTCGTAGATTGCTGATGTATTCTCTAAATATTATTTCTATGTTAATGGGCGTTGTTTTATACTAGTAGTTGAATATCGGGCCCATTCCTTTCATAGCCTTCACACCTACACCTGCAAGTATAAAGCAGACGGTTGGAAATCTCATGAACTATGCAAATGCAAAAAATACATAGCGAAAGCATCGCGGAGAGCACCTCCGCGGCGGCGGCAGGCTGACCTCTCGTGGAGTCCTAACCGTTCCCCGCCACAGCGCACAAATCCGTTCTCTGCTAGATGTTGAAGCGGGTAGGGGACAACAGTTGTTTTTAAACGAGTTATATGAACGGTATGATACGGTCTTTTTACTCCCAGCAAGCAAAGCAACGCCTCAGCAACTGGTAAAGAACGGGTTTGGCACGGCGTGAAACTCATCTCGCCTGACACTCTCCTTCGCACAGCGGAGCAGACTATATCTCCACATTACTTCATCCTCTTTCTTTCTCAATCAGGTGGTCT